ATTGATTATTCAGATTTAACATCTACTTATGTTCTACCTTTTATATCATTACGATCTTTGACCCGTAAGGACAATCTTGGGTACAGATTTTAATTAACTATATATAAACAAAAAGGTTCATGAATCTTCGTAATAAGTCAAGTCAAATTTAAATATTTATTATTCGAATATAACCAAGACCGTCTCTAAAAAGTATTCCTTTTATATTACAATTCTTTGAATAATATTTGAAAAGATATAATTTGATTTTAAACAAGTTTTAAGATAGAGTTTCTTAAATATAATTCTTGTATATTAATGTATATAACTGCTGTGCGGAATAGGTACCGAATATTTCTAATAAGTAATAAATCTTATTTTTTTTTGGGGTATTTGAATTGTTTCATTGGTTGATCCAGTTTCTCAAAATATTTAATAGCTATACTAATTTTAGTTTCCATTCAATTAATACACTTGTACAAATCTTCTTATTTGAGTTTGTACTATCATTTGTAAAGTATCAGCATCTTTTTGAAATAAGTGGCGCCCTTTGGTATGCAGTGTAAGATATAGATGGGTATCATATTTTTAGTCAAGTGCAGAAGCAAAAGCTTGTTCCCACCGCCTCCGATATAAGAGTAGCCAATCGCAATATTTTGACTTAAATTTTCAATAAAAGGAAAGTTTGTGTCACAAAGAAAGTGTGACCTATCAATTCACTCCTACATCAGAGAGAATTGATATGATTCTATTAGTTGGTGAATGCAATGTGCATTCACCAATTAATAGAATACTTAAATGCTCCTGATTTTATCTAGTCGGAGCTTTTTTATGGGGATATGTTAAAGACATTAGTATTTTCAAAAGTATTTTCAAAACTCGACCTACTAATGTCGACAACATGAGAGAAATGATTTTGGAAGTAGAACTCCACATATGCCTTTTAAAATTAAAAGATCTTTTGAAAAGACATAATTTTATGCAGTTAACGAGAAAGGAAGCATTTTCAGCATTTGATTTCATCTAGCTAATTTTTGTGACATAATTATAGGTTTACAGATAGTTTTAATTCTATAATAATTAAAATATATTTTAAACGTGTCTTTTTATTGTCGTTGGGTATTTTACTCTACATCCTTTAATTTTTGTTAAACTAACAAAAAGTATATCACAGCCACCTAGATTTCTTCAAATAATAAAGATCCACTGACGCAAATTCAAATGTCTAGGAAATTCTTTGTATGAGGGGTAGGCAACCATAATAGTATTTTGAAGATATATGAATTCCCCATTGAACACCGGAATAATATACTGGGTGTTCCATTTAAAATAAAGGAGTAACTTGCTGTTAAAAGTGTCTAATATTCCATATTAAGTTTGTCTCACCCTATATAACTTTTCGGGTAAAATTTTAATTTGTTTTAACATACAAATGTTACTCTAGTTAAATATCAGGCTATACAAGGTCAACTAAAATTTAGGTAACTGTTATTAAAATTTAAAATTTACTCTTCATTTTCACAAAATGTGCCTCACAACGTTTTTTGGGGACACCCTGTATAACTCCCTATATATTTTTATAAAATGCTTTCTATTAACCTACATATTCTAAACTACCGTTCTCTTCGGAACCTCCGCCTTGTATGAGAGGCGCCTCCCTGTACGATTATAAATTATTTTGATGTATATGGTATAGATGGTTAACTGGTGATATTATTATATGATATTAATGATATGTGTGAGTACTTCATCCATTTAATTATTAAATAAGGCCATTATTGTTATTATTATATTTGAGGATAATATGATTTTATATTATTTTTAACTATAGTTAACTCTTCATAAAACTGTTTTAAACACAAAACACATAAATATTTATTGGGCATTAATTGTAGGAAATTAAATTACATTTGCATAATAATATGGCTTTCCAGTACATAAAACTCATTTAAATGGGGAATTGTTATAATATAATAATATTTAATTATATAAATTAATATGCATATATTTAAATAATTTGGTTATATCTCTGCAATAGACGAAAAACATGAAGTAGGATAATAAAATCTGAATTTTTGATCTCCCATCATTGTCAGTAGTAAAATGTAAAATAGAAAAAAATAATATAAAATTAACAGAAGTTTTTAAATAATAATTCTTTGGGAATTTTAATGATAATTCTTTTACTTTTGACCTTTTTACCTAAATACTAAATATACTTACTGACACATTGTTTTTTTCTTGATGTGCCTCATTTTATACTGAAATAGAACAACTGGGATTTTTCTGAATTAATTCTTTTCTGAATTTTAGTGAGAGGTTTGAACAATACATATATAATAATTTAGAACTTATTAATAGTTATAAGTACAATTACCTAGAGTATAACAATAAAAGCATTTGACATTTTTATTTCAGTGTTGTAGTATTTTTGAAACAGTATGGCCAGAATTTCCATTAAAGCATCTGCTCAATCATGTTTGTTGATTATAACTTTAAAAAGGTCTGCACTACACTCCTAATAATCGACAATACAGAACTTAACAAATTTAAAATTTATATTTAATCTATTCTTAAAAAAAATGTCGACTCAAATCCGTAGTCAATCATAAAACTTTTTAAAGTATATAAAATAAATATAATCATATTATGAAATAAGTATAAGAAATTCTATTTTCAATATCTTTTTTTTTGTGTATTTCACTGAAAAAGACGAATCCATTTTTCAATTTTCAATCACATAGGCTTACGTATGGCAATTAAAAATTGTATTATTTAACTTATTGCAAAAAAGTCACAACAAATAACTGGTAGGCTTAACCTCAAAATTATCGGAAATGAAGTGCAAATCTGACCGAATAACATCAATGATTAGTAGGTAAGCCAACTTGTTTATCGCCAATTGACTTATAATTACAGGCAACCCGAATATTTTGGACAGTTAATGAGATTACTACCTTCTGTTAGCTTTCACTTTTTTTAGTAAGTAGGGACTTTAGTAAAGTTATAAAATATATTTTAAATTATATTCAAAATAATCTAATAGAATTTGTAATCCGCAAAATTCAGAATATTCTGGAAATGTCATTATTTCGATAGAATGTTCGATAAACTAAAATATGTTCTTCTATTGATAACATTTAATATTTCATAATATATAATGGTTAACCGGTTAACCCTTTGAATAAAAAGATTATACTATACAGGGTGTTTTAAAAAACATGTGCCATCTCTCGTGGGGAGAGTCCACACGTAAAAATAAATTTAAGCCGGGACCCCATTAGGCCACACGCCACGCGACGCCACGCTATCCCACGTGGGCCCACGTGTTGCGACGTGGGAAAGAATGTACTCATAAGATACGAATTGTCCATCACATGTGTGATAGCGTGGAATGATGTGGGGTGGCGTGTTCCCAGATAAAAGTATGAAAAATGGCGAAACAGTAATAAAGATATGCCAATTTCATGAATTTTGCTTAATTGTTCCAGTAGTCTATGTACCTACATTACCTATGTCCCAGTCTATGTACTTACAGTATGTCCCAGGATTATCTTTACAAGAGGAAAAACTTTTTTATTATTGACATTTTGAGAAAAATGCATTTTTCAAAAAAATGTTTGCTTGTTCTAAAATGATTAAACCCGTTTATACTTTTCCAAATTTCCATACCGTTTTAGAGAAAATTCGACCAAATATCAACTTTTAATTGGCATTAAACGAACCAAACTACACAATTTTGATATCAAAAGAAAAAAGTCAAAATGTGGCAATGAGACTCGAGATTTCGTTTTGAGCCATTTCTGGCTCCAATTCAGTCAGCAATCGACACGAAAGAGAATTAAAAAATATTAAAACTGTATTATTACTTATATTATTACTCAAAACTGACAACTAAAGAGACAGCTTTATTTATTTGTCAAATTACATAGAAACCAACGCCAACCCAGCACAATATTTTTTCTACTCGTAATAAATTCCTTGAAATAATAATTTCTGAATACTTTTTAAAATGTAACTTGCTATGGAAAAAAATATTACGACGATAAAATTGCATTATCGTCTCCCGAAAGCAGCTTAGCCCTTTAGCAGCTGATCTGTCAAGATTTCGGTCGACGATAAAATACCATTTTATCGTCTTGTATAAAAATATAACTATTTTTCTAATAATATCTTTTGTTATCATTTTTTCCAAACAGTAATAATGATGATTGTTTAATTATAAAAAAATGTTTTGAAGAAATCTCTACATGCGAAGAATTAAGTAATTTCTATTTGATTTATAACTCAATTAAGAAGGAATAAGGAATGTCAGCGCTGACATTCGAATAAAGTTTTATCGAATATACGAACGTAAATAAATCACTAGTTCCTTTGGAAAGCAGGAAACAGCACTCGGCATTGGGGGATTCACTTTAACAAAAACCATTAATTCTATCATCCAGGAAAATCAGTAAGTATTTATGTACCAGATTTTTAATTTTGTTTTTAACATGCCTGTGTAATAGACTGTTAGCGATTATTTTCAAGAGTTGGGAGTATAATAGTTTTGATTTTTGATTGCTGTAAAAGTTCTTACTGGCATTGTTTGCTTGCGTATTTGGTGCGAAAAAAATTGTTATCAAAATGGACTACTCTAGAATGAAAAATCAAAATCTTTTACGATAAGGTGGTAATATACTTTTTTAGATTGTTTGATTCTGTGGTGATCTGTCAATTCTCCAAAATCGTTGGGAATATGTATTAACATGGAACTGAAAATGAAATTTTTTTGCAAACTTTTATCCACAGATGTTTTTTTATTGGTTGATGACAGGTTATTAAATGCAATAAATGATGAAAAGTACCTCTAAAATTAATGAGAAAATTATGGATTATATAGATCTTAATAAATTGTGTTTTTATTTAAAATAATCAACTTGTTGCTTTTAAAAAAATATACAACTGTCATTCATACTTTATAATTATAAGAGAGTTAAGTAAAATGCGATTTCTTTAGTATCTATTTTTTCTTGTTACAGGCATCCGATATGCTCGAGTGACACAGCTGTCAACTTGTGACACCGTTGCCCTAAAACCGTCGTCCTGTCGTCGTTGACATCCGTCCTGTTGCCATGGGTAACAGTTGCTGTTGCTGCGGGAGCAGCCACTCTCCTCCAGAGCGCCTGCCGAGTCTGAAAGGAACAACAAATAAAATTTGTAAGTAGTTTTATTTAATTAAAGTATAAAAATGTTATAAATATACACCAAAAACACACAGATATACCTACATACATTAATGTCAACACTCTTGAATGAGATTTTGATGAGAAGAAGAAAAAGATATAAATGTCAGAATTTGATTTCAATTTTACTTATCTATACTAATATATAAAATCCTTAAGTGACTGTCATACTGATTAATCACGATCCTGCTCAAACCACTCAACGTAAGAAGCTCAATTTTGGCATACAGGTTGATTCTATGGTGTAGAGGTTCAATAAGAAGGGATTTTTCGAAATTCCAGTTCCAAGAGGGTGAAACCACCCCTCAAATATTACAATATTTTTTATTTAAAAAACGGTCAAGTTTCCGAAAAAACGCTTAAACACGTATATTTTATTTTGTTTTTTTTACATATTTTAAGATTTGTTAAAAATGTATACAGGGTGTTTCGAAAAATCTGGTCATTGATTAATCACGATCCTGCTTAAAGCGGTTGACGTAAAAAGCTGATTTTTGGAAAACAGATTGACCTTAATGTGTAGAGGTTCGATAAGAAGGGATTTTTCGAAACTCGAATCCTAAGGGGGTGAAACTATCCCTCAAATATTAAAATATTTTTTATTTAAAAACCGGTAATTTTGAAAACACGTATATATTTTGTTGTTTTACATATTTTAAGATTTTTTATAAATTTATACAGGGTGTTTCATAAAATATGACCATTGAGTAATCACGATTCTGCTTAAACTGCTTGACGTTTAAAGCTGATTTTTGGTAAACGGATTGACTGTGGGGTGTAGAGGTTCGATAAGGAGGGGTTTCTGGAATCTCAAATTCCAAGAGGGTGAAAATACCCCTCAAATATTACAATATTTGTTATTTAAAAAACGGTTAGTCTTTCGGGAAAACGGTTGGACAAACATAATTTATTTGGTTTTTTTACATATTTTGAAATTTTTTAAAAAATCATACAGGGTGTTCCAAAAAGTTAGGTAATTTTTTAACCACGATTCTGCTTAAACTGCTTGACGTAAAAAGCTTATTTTTGGCAAACGGATTTTTCGAAAGTCAAATTCCAACGAGATGAAACTACCCCTCAAATATTACCAAGTTATGTAATAATATCGCCATATTGTTTTTTCTCATGCTGACATAAATGTGAGAAAATCTTATCCAGTTTGTATGTTAATGAATGTTTGTATGTTAAACGATTCTTGCTTTGCTTTATCATCACCATTACAAATGATTAATTCGACGCGAACAAAGTCGCTGGTACACGCTAGTTTATACTAAATTTTTCCCAATATTTTGCTGGAAAACGATGTAAATTTTTAAAGATTATGGATTTTTTTACGAACAATAACAAAATGGAAAAGTAGTTTGCCCTCTATTTGATAGTTTTTGTTGTTTTTTATAATTGTTGGTTTTATGGCGAAATGAATAAAACAGGAAAGAATGCCTGTGGCAAGACTTGAATTACAATTAGCTTATTGTGAATCTTACAACAGGTCTTCAAAAACATTAACACAAAAAAATCAAAAACTCATCAACTCAATATGAAACAAAAAATATGAAAAAAAAATCTTTTCTGTTCAAACAAGTGGGGGTAGCGAAAGATACAGATTAACAATTACAAATTAACAATGCGTTGTGGCGATAGACGAATATTTTTTAGATTTTGGGTTTGGTATGTAAAAAAGAGGACTTTTTCAATACGTGAGAGAAAAGAGGACAGTGAGGCCAAAAAGAGGACTGTCCTCTGGAATAGAGGACGGTAGGCAACCCTAATTAAACGGCCTATACAATTTTGATATCAGAAGAAGAAAAGTCAGTGACGCACATCTTTTTTTTTTTAATTATTCCAGTAATAACCCATATGCACGTCCCTGATGAGTTTATCGACACTTTTTTAGCATTAAAATATGTAGCACTTATAGTAACTTTTAACCTCAAAATTTCATTCGAATCACTAAAAGGCTTGGAAGAAAATTATAATAAAACGAAAGATTATTAAGACTTTAACACCCTGTAGCTACGAAACAAAGCAGAATCGGACCTATGTTGATATGAAAAATAAATCTTATTTTTACGTAAGGAATCTCCCCACGACAGATGGTACATGTTTTTTGAAACACCAAAACTTTTTTTTTCAAAAATTTTATTGAAATATTTAACCAAACCAAACACGTTATGTTATTTGCTATTACAGGTTGCCATACTAAATGATTAATTACCTGTTATATATTAACGACCTTAAGTAACTAGTAGCTGAACACTAATCTAAAATCAATATAATTGATTTAAATATTGACTGAATCTGAATAGCCTTTGAAACAATTAAAATTTTAACACACTTAAGAAAAAAGCTTAATTTTATCTGTCATTACTTGATGGATGATTTCAAACTTGTGTGTAAATTAATAGTAATTGATCTAGCGCGAATAATATTCTTGCCTGTATTTTTTTTATTGAAGGCTATTTTATTGTCTATAATCTCTATCAGTTTGTAATACCGTGTATACTTTTTATCTTATAATTTATTTTTGCTCTTTTTGTACCAATTTCAAACTTTTCGGAGTTAAAAACTAAGAGTAAAATTACTTAACTTTCGTAATTTTTTGAAGAGTTTTCGAGTTCAGGGGAATTTTACGTTATATTAATAAATCAGATAAAACTTTTCAACCTCTTACTTCAGGTCTCAGCTTCCGCCCACATAGTGATATATCTCTCTACCTGGAACTGGAAATATTTATTGTGCCGTCTTAATAAAAATTAATTACTTATAATGAATATAAATAACTTAGTAAGATTTATCTGCCATTTTTATGTTTAATTTTCGCTTAACTTAAAGACGAATAACTTAAAAAAAATATGGAAACTATAAAATATTCTTTCTGTCAAAAAAACTCGCATATTTTTCGTAGTAATGAATCTTTTTTAATAATGCATTTAGTTCAGTCATTGGGGATCAAAAAAGGAGCCTGCTTGAAAAAAAGTCCGGAAGTTTTGAAACTTTGCAGGTTTATAGGTTTTGGGGTCTCTAACTTAAATCCATAAAATGCACATTTCCAGACTTGCCGCCGGCGCCGCCATCTTGTCAAGATGGCGCTCAAAATCGGTATTTTGTAAATATCTCGAAAACTATGTGTTTTTCGTAAAAAAATGAAAAGACCAAAATTAAAGAGAATAAAATTTCCTATAAAAAAGGTTATATGAAAATTTTCGCTAAAGTCAACCGTTTAGGCACAAAATCCCTGGAAATTTTACAATTTTGCGTGAAGTATGATATACATAATATAGTCGATTTTCCGAAATCAAATGTCGATTAGTGTTCACAAACCTTGAAATTGACTGAAGAAACTAAACTAGTTTTAGTTTAGTTTCTTCAGTTTTGTCATGAAACAGCGGCGTATCATTAATTCGCTCATTAATTTATGAATAATTAATTGTCGTGCTGGACAGCATTCATTGCGAACTTACTACCAGGTTCAGCATTGGTCTGGTTGTACCAAAGATGCCGAAGAATGGGATTAGAAGGAAACAAAAACTGTGTAAATGCAAAACCAACAACTATGGTAAAGCCTGCGGATGCAGAAAAGCAGGATTAAAATGTTCAATGATTTGTGCATACTGCAATGGGAAATCTTGTGACAACGTCACTGACAAAGTGTTACTCGACGAATCCGATGAAGAGGAGTTGGACTTGCCTATAGATATCCCTCTGGCGGCTGAAGATGAAGAGTTGGACGTATTGAGAGACCACCCTGATGAGCCCAGCACAGCAGACACGATCGACTTTGACATCAATGAGCCAGATCCGTCGGTCTTGTGCAGATACGTTAAAGTTTTTAATTTATCTAGTGGAGTAGGCCTCCGTTAAATGAAATAATTAATGTATAAAAACGTTAAAATAAACGCGCCATGTACTTTACCTCTTGGGTGGTGTGGAAACAAGTACACATTTTCAATAATTAAAATTAATTATTTATAAATTAATGAGCGAATTAATGATACGCCACTGTTTTATGACAAAATTGAAGAAACTAAACTAAAACTAGTTTTAGTGAACCCTAATCGTCATTTGATTTCGGAAAATCGACTATACATAATATATCATATTTTACGCAAAATTGTAAAATTTCCAGGAATTTTGTGCCTAAACGGTTGACTTTAGCGAAAATTTTCATAAAACCTTTTTTATAGGAAATTTTATTCTCTTTAATTTTGCTCTCGTCAAATTTTCGCGAAAACCGCATAGTTTTCGAGATATTCACAAAATACCGATTTTGGACGAAGTCTGGAAATGTGCATTTTATGGATTTTAGTTAGGGACCCCAAAACCTATAAACCTGCAAAGTTGCAAAATTTCCGGACTTTTTTCCAAGCAAAAATCCCCAATGACTGAAATAATTGTTAAAAATGCATTTTTTTAATACCTGCATTGGCATTGGAGCGTTTTATGCGTGGTTGCCATATTGTTAAAATTTTCATACTTGGATTGAAGAAATGAAAGATTTTATTATTGTTAGAAATGAATACGGCTTCTTTAAATTTGCGCTTTTTCCAATGGGGTTCTTTGTGGACAACCCGGGCTTACGACCATTTTATATTGTGGTGCTGGGACCACACATGATCTGCAATGCCCGTCTTCATTGTTTCACCTCTTTGCGTATGTTTTTTATGTTCGTCAAGTCGTACATGTAGAGGACGTTCTGCCTCTCTAATATACGACTCACCGCACTCTCAAGGTACCTGGTAGATGTACTCTTTCTCTTGGTTTGATGATTCAGGTTTTGTTTTTGTTAGGACACTTCTTTGACTAGTCCCAGACTTAAAACCGTTTTAAGTTTCGAACAAATTCACGGGTGAATGCTCGGCTCTAGTATATAAGCTCAGTAGTTTTAGGATTTAGTTTAGTTCACATTTGATACCGGTCAGTGATACTTCTGACCGAAACGTTATGTAAGCAAAATAAATAAAGACAATGGAAGTC